GGCTCAGAGGGTAGGTAATAAATACAATACACAAAATTACTAAAGGTTTCCCTTTGGGAAAAGTCTGTTCTCAGAGTAAACAAAGAACCTTCTGAATTTTAAAATATGATTTCCAAATGATGCTTGGTGGAGGCACAACGCCAGGGAAAGCATGTTCACAGGCGGGTGGGCAGCCCAGAGAGGAGGACGCGAGTCAGGGCGCTGGGAAAGGAGGCACGAAGGGAAGTGAGTCCCCAGAGCCTTGGCTTTTCGGAGTGATCCGTGCCCTGTTCACGTCAGGTTTTACTTCCTCGTAGGGAACACCGCCCTCCTGGCAGCCAACCTGCTGTTCGAGATGCTGTGTGCTCTCCCCAGAGTGACAACTGTCTGAGTCTTCTCTTCAAAACAGACTGCACTGCTGACAGATTCCCACGAATTTATGAGTGAGCAGTCTGAGTATGAAAGAGTTTATGCCAATAAAACTTTCTGCTAAAAGTCTCATCGGTGGCTGTGAAATCAGGATATTCAGTAAAACTCTAATCCAAACAGCTAACATTTCTTTTCCTTTTTTTTTGATACAATCTCCCTCTGTTGCCTGGGCTAGATGTAGCATCAGCCTAGCTCACAGCAATCTCAAACTCCTGGGCTCAAGCAATCCTCCTGCCTCAGCCTCCCGCCCAGCTAATTATTTCTTGCTTTTAGTTGTCCGACTAATTTCTTTTTTTTTTTTTTGAGACAGAGTCTCACTGTGTTGCCTGGGCTAGAGTGCTGTGGCGTCATCCTAGCTCACAGCAACCTCAAACTCCTGGGCTCAAGCGATCCTCCTGCCTCAGCCTCCCAAGTAGCTGGGACTACAGGCATGCGCCACCATGCCCGGCTAATTTTTTCTATATATTTTTAGTTGTCCAATTAATATCTTTCTAATTTTAGTAGAGACGGGGTCTCGCTCTTGCTCAGGCTGGTCTCGCACTCCTGAGCTCAAACAATCTGCCTGCCTCGGTCTCCCAGAGAGCTAGGATTACAGGCGTGAGCCACACGCCCGGCCCCTCAGCCTTCTGAGTAGATAGGACTAGAGGCATGTGCCGCTACGCTTTTACGCCTGGCCAATTTCCTCTTTTAAATGACAGTGACATCTTAAGCATTCCACCAATGAACAAGATCTTATTTTAGCTGTGGTTACAGTTCCTCAGTCTAAAAGGGGGGCAAGATTGGGTAAATCTAATCCTATGTAATAATTCTAGTTCCATGTAATAATCCTATCTACATTCCAGATGTTTTCTTTTTTTTCTCTTTGCAGGTGGAGATCACACAATCACATATCCCATATTGCAAGCAATAGCAAAAAAGTAAGTCCCAAATGGCTTGGCCCAAGCGAAGTTTCAAACTCCAGCAGCTGGGGAATGAGTTGTTTGCTGCCACGTGGCATAGGGTGACTGCTACTGGCTCCGGTTGTTGGGGGTGATAGGACATTCCCAACTGAGTGGTTTCTGGGGATCAAAGTTAAGGCTGAACTCCAGGTGTCTCTGTCAGTCACCAGCTGGAAGCCAGGACAATTTATTATTAACACTTCTAGCCGCCCTCCCTTGCCCTAGATGTGTTGTGATATGCATGCTCAGCATTTCCAACCTGCCTCTGTTTTTGGAAGATGAGCCCCTAGTGAGATACACAACCCCAGTTCACTTCAGTTTCTGTTTTGTTTCAACTGCCAAATACAAATACTGACAGGCACAACTGGGGAGCTTGCTCAGAGGCCCTGTTTTCTCCTGAAAGGGCCCCTTTCCCAGACAGCGAGAAGACTGATTTTCCAGTAGTGGAAGTCTTACCGGGGATTGACTAATTTGGGCCAATTTAATTTGAGAAAGAGACAGAAGGGCCGAGGCGGAGGGTGGCAGCTCCAGGATTTGTATATGGCAGGAGCATGTGGGTAGCGTTCTGGTTGCAGGTGGGTGGGTACAGGTCTTTTCTCAAAGCTGCGCTTGCCTCCCACTGATTTGGATCATGTGTTTATTTGGGGCAGGGGTTGATGGAGGTTATGGAGGGAGAGCTGGGTCGAAGCTTCCTCTTGGTGCCACCGCTGGAAAAAGGGTGGCTGATTAGTTTAGCCTTCAGCCGAGCTCACCCCCGAGCCTCCACCCTTCACTCTCATCCCTCTGCCCGCCCTGTTTCTGAGCAAAGCACATTCTGGGTGATAGGTAGTGGGCGGCAGCCAAAGCACATGTCTATTTTCTGCCTGACTTCTCTGCACTTATTGTTCGTCTGAGATGGATGCTAAGTGAGTTGAAGACAGAAACTGGTTGCGAGGCAGGTAATTGATGCCAGCCCCTCTGTGGCTATGAATTGTCATCAAGGTTTGGTGGCCTGAAGGGTGGCTGTGCTAGGGCCCCACAGGGAGGCTGGGCCTCTGAGCTGCTCTGCTGTCCTCAGGTATGGCCCTGTGGGGCTGCTGCACGTGGATGCCCACACGGACACTGCCGACAAGGCCCTAGGAGAGAAGCTGTATCACGGGACGCCCTTCCGCCGGTGTGTGGACGAGGGACTCCTGGACTGTACGAGGGTGGTGCAGATTGGCATCCGTGGCCCCTCCATGACCTTGGATCCCTACGGATACAACCGGAGCCAGGTGACAGACTGAATGCCCCTCCTGCTCGCCTCTGGCCCCTAAAGCACCTCTCGGTCCATGGCCTGCCCCTGGCAGTTGTGGAGCCGACAGGGGCTTTAGGAACCAAGGTCAGAGAGTGGGGACGAAAGGCTGAGTTTGCATCAGGAGGGTCACGTGGGGCAAAGAGGTGTGAGGAGGTTAGTTCATGAGGCACTAGGGGACAATCGCTGGCGGGGGGACAAGCAGAAACCAACCAACTGCTCGGATGTTGCTGGCTTGGAAAAGAGATGAGGAGGTTAGAACCCAAGGTGAGCGGCCACCTTCTTAGTTTCCATCCTCGTGCCCACTAAGCAGAAGAGCTCTCAGGGAAACACACAGGACAAGACCCCAGTAGGAAAGGCCCAACTCCCTTGCTTTTAGGGCATCATGGCCAGTCTTCTGGACAGAGCCGTCCAGAAAGTGCTAGCAAGCTTCTCTCTAACCCCGACTCCGAGGTCTGCCCTGACCCTGCTTCCTTACCAGGCATTGTCCCTCCCTTCCTCACCTGTACAGTGGGGACAGTATTCCCCTCCTCATGGAAATGGAGGGCCAAATGTGACGTGCACGTGAAGAGCTGAGCATGGGGGTGGCACACAGGAAGCGCCTGGTCAGGGCTGCCACACAGATGCCTTGACCTCCGCTCTTCCATCCCGGCCTCCGCAGGGCTTCCGGGTGGTCCTGGCTGAAGACTGCTGGATGAAGTTGCTGGTGCCTCTGATGGGGGAAGTGAGGCAGCAGATGGGAGGCAAACCCATTTACATCAGCTTTGATATCGACGCCTTGGATCCTGCCTATGCCCCAGGGACAGGGACACCTGAAATTGCTGGTCTCACCCCTAGTCAGGTAAGGAAGCTCCGCCAGTGAAGATTCCTGGGGGCGGGGGTACTTTATACCCCACTTTCCTGGCACCTGTAGTGAGTCTTCAGGAACCAGGATAGGATTTTCAAAGCAGAGCACCTGGGCCGTCAGTGTCCTCAGGGCTGACGGTAGTTTGCAGACTCCCTCATTGAGGGGTGACTGATTTGGGCAGGGCCTTTGCTTTTTACCTGGCATGTATTGTAGCAGTCCTTTATTTGGTCTTCCTGCCTCCAGGCCGTGTGTAGTCGGCTCATGGGGATGGTGTTAGAGTACCCTTCTTAAGAACACTAAACTTACCTTTTGAGGATTGAATTTAAAAAGTGTTATGCAACGGCATTAACTACCAAATAGCTCAAGAGTTTTAGAAACACCCAATAAAGCCTGAACAAGCTATGCTGAGCGTCAGTGCCGGGAGGCAGACCTGGCTGTGGCTACGACTAGAAGCTCCAGGAGTGCCTGACGTGGATAAAGAGCAGGTGCTCGAAGATACCTGTGAGCAAATGAAGGCTGCTGAAACCGAATCGATTGTCTTACATCCTCTAAGAGAGGGGGATGGGCATAACTAGCTCTCTTGAAGTCATTCTCTGTTGCCCTCAGAGGGATTTCTGGAACACAATTCTCATCCCTCTGCTTAACTTTCTGGGCTTTTTGTCTGCAGGATGGGAACCCTTTCAGACAAGGCCACTCTCTTCCTACCAGCCCCCCTCACTTATCCTGTCCTCCGGCCACATCTAACTACTTGCACCTCTCCCGTCTTGAGGCCTTTGCCTGTGTCTTCCCCTCTGCCCGGAATGCTCTTACCCCTGCTCAGCCAATCCCGTGAACGAAGTACTTCCACCTTTAGGAAGCCTTACCCCACCTCTCCAGGCTGCTACCTGTGCTTATACTGTTCTGGGCTTGCTTTTCTCGAAGCCCTTAAAGCATGACATGGAACCCATTGGTTTACTTGTCTCCATCATCACACTATAAAGCCCTCAGGAGCAGGGACTGTGCGTTAGTTATTTGTGCCTCTGGTAGTTAATAAATGCTTATGGAGGGAAAGCCAACGGTTCCAAGTCAAAGGGTGGGCACGCGTGGGAGCAACCCACTGGAGCCACTACTGGTCACTTTTCACCGTGAACGATGACCGCTGTCGGCAGCTCAGTCTTGATCTTGGACAGGCTCTGGAGATCATCCGCGGTTGTCAAGGCCTGAACGTGGTGGGCTGTGATCTTGTGGAAGTCTCGCCGCTGTACGATCTTTCTGGTGAGTGAGCAAGAGGACTGATCCGTGGGCAGCTGCTAGTTTAAATTACATTCATCTAGTTAGTAAGTAGAAAATGGATGGGTCCCCGTATATTAATACAATTCAGGGAACCTGCTGAGCATGTCCAACAGTGAAGAAAATAAACCCATTACTGCACACCACGCACACATGAGCTCATTAACCCTAACAAATGCCCTGGGAGGTAGCTGAGTATTATTAGCTTGCCCACCAGCCAGCAGAAGAGAAAGAAACCCCCCTGCAGTTTAGTGACAGGGTGGCGCAGTTCCATCCTCCTTTGATATTTCATTGAAAAGTGAATTCTAAAGCATAAATAATATATATTCGTATTTATCAAGTGGGGAGTTAGCTGATTAAGATCTTCAAAGTAGGCCGGGCGCGGCGGCTCATGCCTGTAATCCTGGCACTCTGGGAGGCCAAGGTGGGCGGATTGTTTGAGCTCAGGAGTTCGAGACCAGCCTGAGCAAGAGCGAGACCCCGTCTCTACAAAAAATAGAAAGAAATTAATCGGACAAC